GGCTGGAGCCCAGCGCACGCGGGGCGGGGCCGAACCTCGGGCGGGCCGCGGGGCGGGGCAGCTGGGCCTAGTGTCCCCCCTCCAGGCCCGCCCTCTGGCCGCGTCCCCGCCGGCCCTGCAGACGTGGCGGGGCGGGACCCACCAGGCTCTCCCGCGCGCACACGACCGCCCGAGCGGTAAGAACCCCGGGCACCCTTTCCTCGTCCCCTTCCCCGGGCGGGCGGGGACAGACGGGTGGTGGGGAGACCCCACCGTCTCTCCTTGTCCTAGCCCCCCGATTCCTGCCTGCGGCGTTAGCGAGGAGCCTTTAGCAGGAATTCGGCACCGGGCGCTGGACCCGGCAGGACCGGGCTTGGGGTGAAGGTCCGGGGGAGGCGCGGGCGGCGCGGCCGAGGGCCCTGCGTGGGTGCGGGCGTGTGAGTGTGTGTGTGTGAGTGTGTGTCGCTCCGGGTCCACGCTCATGCACACACCCACACGCCCGCACGCCGGGTCTGCACCCTCGGCCGGGGGGAGTCTCTGCGGAGCCTGCCTTGAGCTCCCGAAGTATCCAGTCCCGGCACCAAGAAAGTCTGAAAAAGTTTCCCCAGCGTCCCAGGCCCAAGTCAGAGGCAGGCTGCAGGGTCCGGGCAGCCAGGCAGAGGCAAAGAGGGAGCGGGTCCCCATAGGGAGAGGCCACCGTCCTGGGGTTCTCCTCTCCTTGGCTTCAGAAAACCAAGCGCAGGCCTTGACCTCCCCCCTCCCCCAAGCTCATCACCCCTCGCCCTGCACACCCACGTCCTGCCTGCTCTTCCACCCCAGCCAACACCCGAAGCTGGCATCACCTCGATTTAAACATCTTCCCGCGCCCCATGAGTCCTACTCCCTACCTCAGCCCCACCCACCCAATCTTCTCTTGTCTTCCTCTGGAATCTGGTGAGTATTTCCAGCCCTCTCAGATCAGGCACCTGAACTTAATTGTCTTTTCCTAGAGTAGGAAGACATCTCTGTATAGGCTGTGAGGGATCTAACATGTCCTACTGATACCATCAGTTACCATCCTAAACATCTTGAGGGATACAAGCAAGTGGCTTTTAAAATCAATGGTTCTTGAACTCCAGAAGATCTCAGCCAACCTGAGGACACTGAGGATGAGACAGGCTTTCTTCTCAGAGGCCTCTTTCTGCGGTCTTTTCTTCCTGGTGACTCTTTCCTGCCTCACTTATAATCATCCATGCTCTCTCTTTCCTTTCCTCCATCAAAGTCTGAGCTCAGGAAAGAATCTGATCCACCATTTACATTGTACGCTTTAAGCAAAGGTATGAACTTTTCAGGGTGGAATTTGAGGCCCAAGTGAGCCGGTGGAGTAGGAATTGGAAGGTGGGAGGGGATCTTCCTGAATCTCAGGGATTCAGTCCTATAAGTAACCATGTATTTGTAAGACCGGCTTTTCTCAAACATTGTGTCTCTTTAATCAACACCAAACAATATAATTCAGTTCAGTAAACATTTGAGGATAATAAATCAAGCTAGGTGCTTGTTGATTAACGTGCTGGAAGAGAGAATGAGATAGAAACAAATACGTAATCCTTATAAATGCAATAGAAATGTCACAAACAGTATTGCAAACCATAGAAGAGGGAGCAATTAATTCTTTGGAAGGAGTGAGAGCAAATTAAGGAAAATTTCAGAGTAAAAAATGACATGAGGTATTGAGAAACAAATAGGAGTTTGCCAGGCGATTGGAGACAGGGCAGCCTGGGCAGAGGACTCAGCATAAGCGAAGGCAGGGCTGTGCGAAGATTTACCAGCTGTGTGGGCTGGGCTGATGGAAAATCTAGTGGGGCAAGAATGTAGGGTGTGTTGANTTGATCAGCTGTCCTTATAGCACCCTGCACCTAAAACACAAATATTCCTCTGGGAGCATTTACATCTCAAGCAGTTCCTAGTGTATACACTCAACAAACCAGCCAGGAGTTTTTATATTTAAGAAAAAATAAAGGAGAGGAAAAAAGGGAGATGAGAGTGGAAGATCAGAGAGTTCACAACTTCTTTTTAAAGGAAGTAAAAAACGATAAAAGGTAAAAGTTCTTTTTCTTTTTCTTTTTATGCATCAAATGAAAAGAGGAGGAAAAAAGACAGATGGAAGAAGCTCTATTTCAAGTGTAAAGCCATGGTCAATAGGATCTATGAAAATTAAAACTACCAGAAAGGAAAGATCAGAAAAACATTAAGTGAGGTAAGTGTGATTCCATAACTAAGTCAACAATATGCAAGAGAAGCATTGTTTTATTTGTTAAAGGTTAGGTAGGAACCCAGAGAAAAGCAAGTCCAGGTTATTCCCTGCCACTTCCTCCATTTAATAAGTGTTTATTCAGAGTGTACCATGCGCCAGGACTTTGCTGGGTGTTACGTGCTGGGGATAGAAATACAACTAGCACTGGCATAATCCTTGCTTTCAAAATGCTTATAAATTAGTGACAGATACAAATAATCAATTATAGAACCAAGTGTCAGGAGAGATAAAACACTCATGTCTACTACAAAGATAGGTAATATGTGATAGGTATAAGTATTACTGAAAACAAGAAACGAGAGAAAGGTGAACAGAGAAAATGTAGACGAAAGCAGAAGAAATAAATATCATCGGTTAGTTTTTTTCCCTTAAGTATGACTATAAATGCTAGTTATTTTTATATCTTTTCAAGATGGCCACATCTGTAGCTTTTTTGTATATTTAAAAGGACACTTGCAACATCTAAAAAAACCCCCCCAAAATCACTGAAAATCATCTTGCAAAAGTATCAAAGAAACATTACCTATTTCCTGTACAATCTTGCTTGTTTGAAGTAATTATACCACAATTTGAAAAAGCCACAAAAGCCTGCTTACTTACCAAGATTTCTTCCTCAGAAGAAGAGAAAATAACTTCTAAATGAAGAAAAATAAGCGCTTGACAAAATGCAAGTCCTGAGCTTAGGTAAAGCAATACCATAGAAACAGTTTTGTGCCATCTGTTGGACCTTCCTGGAATTACTTTTACTTGTGAATTTCCGTTTCAAAGGCTACTGCAAAGCATGTGAGTCAGCAAGCAGGTTTCCATAGACTACAGACTAAAACAGTAATCGCAATTCTAAATTCATATGAGCAAGCAGCTTATGAAAATTTTGATGTGAAGAAAACTGTTCCTAAAGTAACATTTATCTGTAAGAGTTTGCAACTTGAATGTGAAATTGTCACCAGCATGGAAAGTTATTGAACTTTGCTTGTTTTCTATTATCACCATACTTTCCAAAATAATTGAAACTATCATTATCAAGCAATTTTGGAGCATTATCTTAGCTGGATGAGATTTAAATAAAATGAGCTTACGTCCAAGGTTTGTTTTTGTGTTTTTATAAAAAATCAACTTTCAAGGAAAGTTTCGAAGTTGATATATATACATATATATACAGCCCCACCTGGGGGAAATTGCATCTTGTGTCTCCACATTCAAACCAACATTTAGTATTATTAGAGGTTTTAATTTTAGATTCTAGAATAATAAATAACACTGAGATCCTACAGAACAAATTACAAAATCAATTTTCCTTCACAATAAAAAATAATTAAAAATAAATAAATAAAGGGCATTTAGAATAATTTTAGAATGATATTGTCAAATAAACTCAAAAAAGAGTCTGGAGACTTTGGCTAGAAATAAATTATAAAGATTTATTTAAGGGTGTTACAGTTTGGAAACCGAAACAGTTGAAAAACCCAGAAGTGTTCCAAGGAAGAAAAGTTCAAAGTTCCCAGGCTAGTTGAAACAAAAATAGAATTGTTTCCTCATACCTCAACCTACTTGATTTCAGTAATGTAGCAGCGTGACTATAGTGCCAGCATTTTATTTCTTCACTCTATTTCTTAATATAAACAAAAGTTGGTACCAAAAGAGGGTGTCTGGTTCACTAGATAATTCAGGCTGCCAGGATAGCATATTTCCAAGACTTCCCACTTAACTGAGGTTCTGTAAAGAATGGAATGGAATGTATGAGTTAAACAACCATTCTATAATTAATCCCACTGTCTAGCATTACCTGTCATTACAAAAAAACAAGTTAGGACCATACAGTTGGACCCATGACAAAGTTGGACATCTGGTAAGAATCACTTCTGCTTTCAGTGGAAAGGGAAAGGCCAGCTTCTTACCATCCATTCTCGCTCACCAAACATAACAGGAAGTTTCCTCAGGCCTGTGGAGGATCAGCAAGGAGTGGACGGGTCTCTGTCAGCTCAGCAAAAGCAGACAGCTAGAGAGCAGCAGGTATCTGTGACATTAGGAAATCAGATTTGTGAAACAGGCAGAGGAGAGGGGCCAGCTGTGGCTCTGAGGGAATTTCAAGCAACACTGGACTAAAGTCTTTACAAAAATATACACATGTGCACAAACGCACGCACACATGACTGCAGATTTGGTCACATTGCACAGTGACTTGAGCAAATGCTTATTAGGGTATTGCATAACAATGTCAGTTTTCAGAAACAAGGAGAATGTTCTTGTTGAGGCTGTTATACTTCTGAGAAATGTCTTTTTTTAAAATTAAAGTTTATTGGGGTGACAATTGTTAGCAAAGTTACATAGATTTCAGGTGTACAATATTGTAATACATCATCTATATATCACAGTGTGTGTTCACCACCCAGAGTCANCTTTCAAACTGGGAGTGGGCTGCCAGACTACTATTCTACTATGCTTCAAGCACGTCTTGTTTACCTTTAGGAGAAATCCAAAGCAATCTCCCCTTAGGTCTACAACCTCTTCTTATTCTTTTTGTTTTTTTTAAAGATTTTATTGGGGAATTGGGGAAGGGGACAGTGTTGGGGAATTGGGGGAGGGGAACATTGTGTTTTTCTAGGACTCATCAGCTGCAAGTCAAGTTGTTGTCCTTCAATCTTAGTTTTGGATGGCACAAGCTCAACTCCAAGTCCAGTCCCCGCTTTCAATCTAGTTGCGGGGGTGGGGGGTGGGGGCGTAGCCCACCATCCCATGTGGGAATCTAACCCGCAACCTTGTTGTTGAGAGCACACACTGTACCCAACTGAGCCATCCAGCCAGCCCCTACAACCTCTTCTCAATGACTCCCTATCACTCTTTTGATTTTAATCTTCTGGAGATGGGTAATATGGGTTGATAGTTACTGATCTCTTTTTTGCTATGTTTTTAGTAAGTTCAGCCTGGCTGTATCTAATATTTCTGTCTAAAATGTGTCTTTTGTCAGCTTTGAGGCATTCACCAAAATTCTAACACAACCAGAAAAGTGCTATTCAATAACCAGTTACAAATAAATTTAGCTCTGAGTTTCCTTGCAAGTAGGTAAATCCAAGTCTCTGGCCTCAACAGCCTATGACTAAGGCTTTATTTCCCTTTATATATACAAGCTATAGCATTTTTGTGTAGGTAGGTACAAAAGTTAATAAAGTATTACTCAGATGGAAGGAAAAAATGTGCCTTTATTTTCCACAACTGGTCTAATTTTTCCCCAGACCCAAAGTTGAATAAGATAACAAAGCTTACCCTGAGGCTGTTACCTTCACACAGCTACCACCTAGAGGGGGAGTAGGGGGGGGGGAGGGAGAGAAGGAGGAAGTGAGGAGAAACAAAGAAAAGAGGAGATGAGATCATTCCTGAGAAAGGTGCAGCTACAGCTATTTGTAATGGATTTTTAACATCATTAGCATCACAGGCAGGGAGAAACCTTCACCCTCTGTGTTGCTCTGACAGTTCCTACAAGGGAATCCTACCTCCTGACAGAAAGGAGTGGTCATCAAAAGCTAATACCTGTTCTGGGAATGCCCTGGGAACACCTGCCATGATGCTACCCTTGAGTATTTCTTGTTCTCATTCAAACATAATCCTAAATTTCTTTGTTCTTCAGTGCAGTTGGTTTTTTTCCTGGGCCTGTCCACTTTCACGCCATCTTGAGAGAATACTGTAATATTTTCTTCCTTCTTATAAATCCTTGGCTTGCTTGGCTTTGTTTGCATATATTAATATTTTGGTACACCCTGAAATTCCTTCCAGAGACATTTACCAAGGACCCTTTCGATCTCTGGTAACAAGGCCAATGAGAATGCACAGGACACTCCAAGGACCATTGCATACAGTTCTGAGATTGACTCTTTCCTTGCTGCCATGAAGTCCCATTAACTCCTGCTCACACAGAATCCATTTGAGAAAGGAAAAGGGAGAGGAAAAGTCTTTGAATGATTGAGCATTTATTGAAGAGACCGTTTTAATTTGAAACAGAATGGTTAAACCAGAAGAGACTGAGCTATCTGTGATTGATAAGTTTAAGCACCACCTCAGCCCCCAGCCTGCTTCCCTAGCTCATTTGAAATACAGCTGTCATTAAGTCTTTCCAGAATGCAGAGAGATGATGCAGGCACCACCTAGAGCAGTGGTTCTCAACCTGTGGGTCGTGACCCCTTTGGAGGTCGAACGACCCTTTCACAGGGGTCGCCTAAGACCAT